CAAATGTATTACAAAACAGCAGTATTCTAGCGATTTATGGCCTTTGAAAATCAAGCGAAATTGGTCAAATTGTATTGTTTACGTAATTGTTGACAAATAGCTCGCAGTACATTTCATAGTGTTTTGTAATGCATTAGTGTTTTGATAATGCATATATCCACCGTTCCATTCAGCGTTAGAAATTGTACTAATTACGGATGTCAAATGTATTACTAAACAACCGTATTCTAGCGGATTTATGGCCTTTGTCTTTGAAAATCAAGCGAAATTGTGTTCTTGATAAATCGCTCAAAATTATTAATTAAACTAATTATAAAAATACAGTACGTTTTATCCTTGATAACTTTGGTATCATTGGTTTTCTCTTTTTCGGCCGCATACCAGTGGATTCGTCTCTGTCCAGTCTTCATTTTGATAGTATTTTGAGCTCAAAAATATTTTATTTTGAACGTTTTAAAGCGCAGTTTAATCCTAGGCCTAGCGTACAGACCAACTGGCGGCTGACAGTTCTTGAAGAAGGTTGCAGCGTACTAAATATAACTCAACCTTGCAAGCCATGCCAGGTCTTTCAGCCTGCGCTGCGAGGTTGAATATAACTTTACTTGTAGTGTAGGGTAGGGTAGGGCCTACCGCATTTTAGTACTGTGTTAAGCCTTTCGCGCTCGTTTTCGACTTTTCCGCTATGTATTGGTGTATGATCATGTACAGTAATGCATGTGCGTATTTGTATAGCCCCAGCGAGTTAACGCTCCGTAGAGCGTCTTGTTCATTATTGTTTTGGCGTCGTTAGTACAGAATAATAATGAGCATTCACTGACGCCACCGGAGCAAAAATGCACCGGTGAATTTGGCGCGCTTGCGGGTGACAATCGCTTCCAAGAACCACGAACCGCGGACTTTGGAAAGTCTAACCAAGAAGCCGAGTTATTCTTTTTTTACTAAATTCGTAAAAATGTTAGGCTTGAATAATCCACGAGACAGCAATCAATTCCATCCTTGACGCGTAATAATATTTGGGAGCTGACCATGCACAATTCCGTTTTATAAAATTAGCACGTAGAATTTTAATTTCAAAAATTAATATTTGAATATTATGATGAATTGACTTTCCTCTTGGCAAAATTGATTTATGATTGTGATTACGAGAGTGTGAAAACCACTGAACTGATTGAAAAATAATTGCCTGGTTTAATTAATATATATTGGAACCCTTATAGTAATTGATATACGCAACGGCGAGATAGATCGATTAATAAAATTCGTATAGCAAATATATCAATTTGCACGATATTGCCTATAATTAAGACTGATCCAATAAAAGGAAGAGGAATAAAAAAAATGAAATTACAATTTATGATAATATATGCTGAAAATGGATACGTTCGGAATTATTTCATTCCATTTAATTGAAGGACATGCATGATGCATGCATGGAGAGTGGAAATAGAGATACCTTCATATACAATGCCATCCTCGTACCCAGGGGCGTAGGAAGCTTAGAAAAGTTGGGGGGGGGGGGCCAGGCTTTGAAGGGCACTTTCCAAAAAAAAAGGGCATCTCGAAAAAATTTTTTGGCGACCTCCCCCCCCCGTCGACAAAAAAATTTCGGTCAGTGTACCATTTTAGGGGTAAAAAAATTTTCCGGACATACCATATTTTTCCTTAATTAAATACTAAAAATTTTTTCCGGAAAAACAAATATATGATATTTTTATCGGAAACTAATACATTTTTCGGGAAAAAACCTACATTACAGTTTTCAAAAGTTTCGTTTGGACAAAAACTGCGAATTTTATGAAAATTTTTCAGGCACAAAAAGGGCACTTTGCTCCTGTAAAAAGGGCACTTGCCAAAACTTGGGGGGGCCATGGCCCCCCTGGCCCCCCCGGTTCCTACGCCCCTGCTCGTACCCAGGGTCTTTTTGCGGGAAAGACCCGCCTGGAAAGTCCCTTGCGACGGAGGTTGATAAAATGCGTGCAGATTGCTTCGGTATGCGCAAAAGACCCTCCAAGGAAACGCGCATGTGCATGTTATTGGGTAAACCAGACTCACCGGACATAATATACTATATATAAATTGCGGTGCCCAGCAGCATGCGCAAAACAGCACGTTAGCTATAGCGGCTTATTAAACAAATACACCACTGCAAGCGCGAAGAAATACAATTTTTTAATAACTATATACCATGCATGCGCTTGTGATTCCGAACAAATTACTAGAACTGACTGATCATGACAAACTAACAGACAAACAAACTCACACACGTACCGAATATAAAGCGATGCCTATTTTTTTTAGGCATCGCGATTATATGCTTATCAGTCAAAAGCGATCGTCATTCCCTAAAGTTTTTATCGCCTTTGTATTTTACCGAATAGTTCACACAATGACTAATCTGATATGCGTAATTAAAGATAGAACTTCATTTCATGGAAACATTTTGCGAAAAGTAGATGGGTTCGTTCGAACCTTAGCTCGTCGGTTATTTACGGCTACTGATTTGTCCACAGGGAGCCCAAGCGTTGATCTCTGTTTTAATTGAATTATTTCACTATATTACACTAATATGTCATATAATAATAATAATACTCCTATAGTCGAACATATAATAACAACATATAAGTTGATTTGTATTTGTATGTTTTTTTTATTTATTTAAGATATATTATTAGCTTATATAAAAGCACTGCCTTTCGAACCTGACAGCCAGTTCGCAGGATACGCGCGTGGGAGACGCGCGGGATTTGAAAATAACAATTTGTGATTGGTGAAAGGGCTGGTATATTTCAGTAGTTATGGACCGATGATTTGACTGCGTAAAACTGCGCTGTTTATGAAATAAACCCATTAATGGATTATGTAAAATTAGTTCAAATGACTAACAGAAGCAATATTTTTTTATTGAAAATGTGGGTTGTGAAGTCATAAAAGGTCCAATAACTTTTTTGGGACAGTAATTGTAAATTGGTAATAAATTAATATATCTATATAGAATTTTTATATGTATCACTCATAAGGGGAAAATCTATTGGAAAGGACTGGTATATTTCAGTAGTTATGGACCGATGATTTGACCGCGTAAAACTGCGCTGTTTATGAAATAAACCCAAGGATTATGTAAAATTAGTTCAAATGAAGAACAGAAGCAATATTGAAAATGTGTGTTGAGAAATCATAAAAGGATTAAATTTAATATCAATAATTTTTTTGGGCAGTAATTGTAAATTGGTAATAAATATATCTATATAATTTTTATATGTATTAAGTGTAAAGTTTCATTCAAAGTTGACGTTCAGTCGATAATAATAAAACTTGACTCCCCCCTCCCCTCTAGCGTCGCCCCTTCACTGATGATCAGTGGGTGTCAGTGGTTCGGTCGAAATTTAATAATTTGGTAAAGTTTTTCTCGATTTAGTAAATTTTGAGCACAAAATTTAGTAATAATTGATGTTGCAAAATAGTGCGTGACCTATGGCGTGACTCCGTGTTTACATATTTGTTTGTTCAGTTTGCTTGTGAGACCATGGATAATAAAATAAATGGATATGAAACTAGCTGACGTGACCTAATGTTTTTACTGGGATTGATGGCGTGGCTGGGTGCCTCAACCTAGTTGAAAACCAAATTCTCAAAAACGGCGTGTTTAGCAATAATACAGCTAAACATTTTAGTCAAAGAGCAAATAAATGTAACCACGCCATTCTACGATGAAAACTCTAAGTATTCCCAGTCAATTTTAGCAAATATTTCAAGCACTAAACAGTGAAAAATACATCGCAAATTTCGCAAAAATTTGTGACGCCAATTTCGTAGCTACAAATGTAAAAAAAATACAAAACAAAGACGAAAAACATTTACCTTGAATACTTTGTCGTGGCTTAGGCATGTTTTTAAAACAATTAGACCAGTTTACGCTTCAAGATCACCCTTTTAAAGTGGAAAATATAGCAAAACAACAAAAATGCCGAGAACTTTGGTAACATTCGCAATACGCGTGACGTCACGTTTTTCAACAAGGATGCAGTCAATGACGTCAGAAGTTTCCAATCCATTTATTTTATTATCCATGGTGAGACCAAGCAAAACCTACAAGACCTACAAGAAGGAATTGTGAAAGAATAGGTGGCTCGAGAGCTCAAAATAACATTGATATTAATAAAGCATTACAGTAAAGGCAGACCTGCTGTGGTATGTGTTAATATACATATTGAACGTTACGTACTCTTGTCTTGTACAGTATATATGTAATAATTATATTATGTATAAAAGAGCTGAATGTCGCTCGGTCGTGCTTCTTTAATAAAATAGAACATCAAGTCATTCAGCAAGCATTATATCCACTGCAGTAGCAAGAATTACATTGCTTGAATCCAATTTAAAAGGCCTTTAAATTTCAAATTTTGTAATCCCTTTTAACAAAATCAATTAATTTTGTTCATTTGAGGCATATTGAACCTGATTGTTTTAATTAAACCATATGTAAATTATGTAAGACTATAGTAATTATAATTACTTCCATCAAATCCCCCTTAAGCAAGTCTGCATGCCATGTATCACACTGGTGGTCTTCATTGTGAGAATCAAAATTTACTAGACTGTCAACCCAAGGTAGAACACAAGTTCAATTGAGTGACTTGGAATTTGAGACAAGAATCAAGTTATTTCAGTATCTATCAGTAATTATGGCAAACACAAGTTGATCAGTGAGGGACCATTAAGATGCCTGGGCTGACTGTCTTGAACACATTTTGCATGTTAAACCGTTGAATGATCTCACCCCATATCTATGCTTGTATTCCTGTTTTTAAAATATACAAGTTAAGCAGTTGTATGTTTCAGGTATAGTTGTATTCCGTATCAATCTACAGCTTCCCTGATCTGTTTATCACTCAGTTGATTAGTTGAAAGGAAAATAGTCAAAATAAATTGAAGTATTTTTAAAGCTTTTCGATTGACTATCCTTGTCAGTCCAGTTGACTTTATTCAGTATTTGACCCAATTTGTGTTAAATCATGTATCGGTACTCTGAAAATCGTGATTTGAGTTCACCTTAATCAGTCGAGCTGTGTCAATGACCTAATTGAATATAAAAAACACTGGGAATATTTACTATGTACTAGCATATTTAATTATTGTAATAGTATACATTGGTGCAGTCGTGAACATATGTAATGCCTCAGACTCCTGCCCTGAAGTAGCTAGTGCCAATGAGCAGTGCCGGATCAACCATATGGCAGAAGCAGCATATGCCATGTGGGCCCCATGCTTTTGGGGGCCCCACACTTAATCATTTTGAATTTTTTGTTCCCTGTTTCGATGCGAGGCCCAAACAAACATAAAGACAACAGATATATACTTTTAGGTTTTTACTTGTCACAGATAATATTTAAATTGCTGATACTCATTGTGTCACTTAATTTTAGTTCAAATTGTTGATGTATATTTCTTTTTTTTTGTAAATGCACAGCAGGATACAATGCATGGATACAAAAGGATATTTTTATATTTTTGAATCTTTCTGAATTCAGTGTTTAAAATGCCATTGGGGGGGGGGGGGTAGTTAAGGGGCCCCCGTGCTGATAATATGGCACAGACCATGAAAAATGTTAATCCGGCCCCGCCAATGAGTGCATTAATTATGTACAGTATGGAAGCACTTAGTAATCTAAAGTTTGTATGCCAGCAAGCAGGGCCACAGAGAGGACGTTGCATGGGGTTTGGGGCAAAACGTTTCTTTTTTCCTTAACTGAACACGAGGTCTGTACAGAGAAATATCGGACCACTTGAGGTCTTTTTTGTACAGACCGAACCCGTAGCTAGGGTGAGGTTTGTTTTAGAAAAGATCATTTTCGAGGTCTGATATTTCTCTGTACGTACCGAGCAAAATAGAATAGAATAGAATAGAAACTTTATTTCACGAGGGAAAACGCATTAACCATTATAAGTTATCTAACATACTGTATGGCCCTCGCACTATTTTGATATTTACAGGCATAAAAAGTAATAATTAAAGATTACGACTATTTACATATGAGAAAAAAATAATTAGTAATGAATACAATTACAATTTAGTAAATATTTACAATTTATACAAAATAGATCTTCGGTATGGTTAGTAACGGTCAAGCAAGGTTAATAATTAAAACGTTTATTATATGGTATTTAATTATACATGAAACAAACAAGAACTGATGCATGTTTTGAAATGCATATTAGTAGCGTAGTACACATTTGGTCGAAGAAAACAAAAAAACCCAATGTATTCCTTCTTTTACAAAAAAAAAACATTCGCAGATATCTTATTAATAACAACTTCAATTATAATTATTTTCCAATTTTCAATTAGTTTTGCTGTTTTGTTTCAAAATGCATGAGTTTGTTTTTACGTAATGGACCGGACTAGACCATTACAGGAAAATAATGGACCGCTGAAATTAAGTGCTTCTCAACCAATCGCAGTCCGCCATTTCACCCGAAGTGATGCTTGCCACATAATAAAATCTGATAACGCCCCCAAGGTTGCCTCCGCTTGATATTCGGTGGTGTGTCTGAAAGTGAAAGAAAGAAAACAGATGGCTGTTGTCGGCATACCTAGTTGCAAACCGTTATCTTCGATATTATATGCAGACAAACGTTAATTCCATAAAAAACTGGTTTTGCACTTGTCTAGTTATCAGATGAGAAAATCATTGCATGTCTTGCCACTTTATTAATTCTCTTGCGCCGGCAACGCAATTAAATTTGACCCGTTGCATTGCCCACGCGAGAAAAAATCGTACGTGTAACCTGGGCTTTACTGTTTATTGCGTTTTTGCCCCAATTGCAACGTGTCCTCGTTTGCGTATTTTAACATGGCAGGCGCACACGAAGGTTATATTCCACCAATATGTTTCTCTTTGATTTTGAACCGAATCACCAACCTGGAAATAACTACATGAAAACGGGGCCATTGGGGCAAAGGTGTAATAAATAGACAAGTGTACATTGCTCAATTATAGTCATTTTGTGGATCCAAAAATTCGACTTTATAGAGATGTTCCGTATACCAATAGACCGAAAATCCCTTCATTTGCAAGATACTAGCGGAACAATAGTACGGAAAGCTCCATTGTGTTTTAATTGTTTTGTACTCCATGCCGTTCATTCACCCATTTTGACATTTTTAATTTTAAACAAAATCCTTATGAATCCAGTAAATATACATATATTTCGGAATGACAGTTCTTCAGTTGATTCGAATTACTCTCAATAGTGTTGTTGGTTCCTTCACTAAATAGTTCTGGTTCACTAAGTTCTTTCTTTTTATTATCTGCATGGGGTCACTACCAGGAACTGACAAGAACTGACACTCTTACAGCCAGTGGCCCAGTTTGCTCATCGCCGAGCATGCGTATACTGTACATGCTATCGTGTACTGAATGTTAATGAGACGAACTACGAAATTATATTTCAGAATATAGTCGGCAAAGTTTTTAATTTATTGATAGGTTAAGGAAAGGCTAAAGGCCGCAAAACAAATATTAGGTAATTCGGCAATAAATAAATGAAGAACACTTTAAACGTACAATTTAAAGATGATGTCCACTCCTGTGCACATGCGCGAACTTTGTTTACGTTTTAAACTACTATATTTGTAAAATATGATTCGCTATACTTGTAAATGAATATAAACTATACGTTTCAATTCAATTCAAAAAAGTTCGAAAGATGCAACATTTGGGCAATATTAATGTTTATATCTGGGGGTCCCCCTTCGTTCTGGGCATCAGTTCTGCTCATAACAGAGTGGACATCATCTTTACTAGCCTTATTTTGTTGCAAATAGATGAAAGTAAAACAAAACAAAAAAGCCAGCGAAATTGTTTGACTGAGCCCACGATGTCATGCAATGAATACTCTGTGTCATGTCCATTATTTTTCTATGCCATTTCTGATCGTGCCTGTGTCCGGTGTCCCCATCCAAAACTGGTGGAGAACGCCTGGTTGCATGGTGTGAGAAAGGCTAGTGTACTTTTGACGTTCAAAATTTAAAAGCAAATTGGTCGCTTGAAAAGTTATATAAAGAATACATAGAATATGGCCATACTGCAGATAGGTATACAGTAAAATCCCGCATAAGAACCTTTTTTCCAGCGTTAGCCTAAACATGTACAGGTTCTTATGTAAATGTGCTTACCAGGAAATTAAGCTGAACAGGTTCTTAATTTAAATAAGTTCTTATTTTTTTAAGAGAAAAGCGACACATTTTAGGGAGGTATGATATATGATTTATATAAATTGATAATGAGTATACATTCGAAGTCGCATACTATAAACTATCACTAACAATAAACCATTAACGATACTTTCCTTATGAAGTTTATTTTATTTTCATGCCAGGATCTAAATAATATGAGTATTACACAAGAAGATATGGCTGGAAAGGTTTGTCTGGTCACTGGAGCATCTCGTGGGATTGGAAAGGGAATTGCTGCTGTGCTATCAAAAGCTGGAGCAACAGTTTATATCACAGGTAGCGGCTATATACTGTATGTAGATCATAGAATGTGCTGTTCCATTTAATATGTGCCGCCGCCCCATATTGAAGAGTCTGGATACCCAATGGGGAGGACGGGGTCTTTACCTTAAATTTTCCTAGAGGATAGCTTGAGACTGATTTTTTAAAAATGGCACAAATGAGGTGTTTTCATTGGTGATATCCAAGAGGGAAAAGCGATATCCTAAAGGGGTTTGTAAGATATCCTCTGGGGTAACTTTCACAAATTGCATCCAAGGGGGTTCCAAATTTTTATATCCTGAGGGATTATGAAGGAACCCCTCAATAGGGGGGTGCCCATATTAAATGGAATAGCCCAATAGATACTATTTAAGCCTGGTTTTCATATGGTCGTAATGTTCATAAAAATAGAGTCACGATCTTTCTCAACCGCCAGTTTGTAATATTATAGTTTATACTTGTAATATAGTTTATAATTATAGTTTGTACTTGAGTACATAACACCAGCACACACACAAAGAAATGAGACTAGTATTCCCTATTCTAATCACTCCACGTATTTTCAGTTCTAAAATTTTGTATTTCGCTTGATGAGAAAGATCGTGACTCAGTCTTTACGACCATATGGAAACCAGGCTTTAGATCTGTATTATTTATATGCTATAGATAGCCGACAGATTAATATGGGCCTTTATATGTGGATTGGATTGGACTTGATCAACAGGATAGTTAGTTGAGTTTATGCATATAGTTGTATGAGAATCACATTCTCGGACATGCCAATAATTCAGTATAGTTAGTTATACCGCTTAATTGTTAGCAAGAAGCAACTCGCTGCGAGTGCATTAATCCAATCACAATGCTGAACAGTTTATTTTAATTAGATGCAAGTACTTGCAAAAGCTTTGCGAGTTCACTCAGTGCAATTAGTGGAGAAAAGCCTTGCGAAATTCAATTTTTAGTTTCGGCCATTTGTACACCTAAAGTTCACTATTTATACGTTCAATCCATTAATTTTAAGTATTTAATTTGTAGGTCGTTCGGTCAACAAGGAATTCCAAGATGAGGTATCAAACTACTATCAATAACTATAATAGTTCGAAACAAGTAATATAATACTGTAGTTCGAGACAAGTACTATTTGCATTTAAGAACCTTTACATGGTCGTGGTAAGTTTCGTACTTGAGTCATCAGGATAATTCTATTCTTATTTCAATCATGAAAAATTCTGGCTGAGACATCTTGAAGTTGAAGATGACAGTTGAAGTCACTTTGCTTTTGGCAATTAGGTTTGAAAAACCGCAAGAAAAACTACCGGAAGCTCGCTATATACTGGAGAAATGTTTGAATATTTCGGCGGAACCTTCTTAGATCTCCATCACCCTGGCTATATATAAGACAAATCAATGTTATGCACTAGTCAATTGAAACCCCGACCCCCGGGATAGGGCCGGGAAATTAACATTTTGACTATGTTAAAGTTTGGTAATTTCCCCGCTACCGGGGGAATATTGACTGTTAAAGTTACCGCCCCTATGGCCCCGGCACTTTGCAAATTTTCATGACTTGGGAAATGGGAAATCGTTGAAGTATAAAATGTTCACAACATGTGAAGGCAATTCTTGATCTTAAACTTTGATCCGCATCAAAAGATACTGAATAATCTACGTTTTGAGTATCTTGCAGTCGCTTGTGTGATGTTACTCTGAGTGTATATCCACACCAGGCAGGCTTGAAAAATATGCCTGGCCACGGTGGGAATGGAACCTACGACCTTTGGAATACTAGCCCAACGCTCTGCCAACTGAGCTACGGGGTCAGGTCAGTTCGACTATGCGATATTTCGAAACTGAGTCTAGTTCCTTAGATATCAGTGTAATGTAATAATCTGATATTCGGCTGTGTTGGTGTAGGCCCTAATGTATTCAGGTGAATAAGATGCTTGTGTGATGTTACTCTGAGTGTATATCCACACCGGGCAGGCTTGAAAAATATGCCTGGCCACGGTGGGAATCGAACCTACGACCTTTGGAATACTAGCCCAATGCTCTGCCGACTGAGCTACGCGGTCAGGTCGGTTCGAGTATGCCATATTGTCTAGTTCATGAGTTAGATAGTGAGTCTAGTTCCTTCGATATCAGTCATCATCAGGAATATATAAAAAGTGAAAATATATTCCCTTTTTTTAAGAAAAACTATGAGGAAACAATTCTCTGATTTCGAAGATTCCGCCATGTTGCCGCGAGGATAAACTCGATCCAGTCCACTTTCATATCAGCCACGC